GTCAAACTCACTGAGCTCTATAGCCCACTTAACCAACTTTCCTAAAGACTCTGGCTTATGAAGTACCTGTTTCATCGGCTCGATAATATGAGCCTAAAAATAGGGCCTCAGTCTTCTAGCAGTTGTGACCAAAGTTAAGACAAACTTTTCCATCTTAGGATATCTCTCCTCTGTCCCCCTCAGAGCTCTGCTACAGTAGTATACTGGTTGCTGAGCTCTGTCTCACTCCCTTACTAGTGCTGCGTTGGTTGAGAAATCGAAACAACTAGGTAAAGAGTTAGTACTTCCCCTTCCAATGGGCTTACCAGAACAGGAGGCGAGCTTAGATAATCCTTCAAGGCTTTGAATGTTTCTTTACACCGGGTGTCCCACTTGAACGCTTTCTTTAGGACTTGAAAGAAGGGTTAACACTTGTCACTTGATCTGGACACAAACTGACTCAAGCTATTATCCCCGTCAAACGTTGGATCTCTTTCGTGTTGGATGGTGGCTGCATATTCAACACTACTTTAACCTTTTTTGGGTTAGCTTCAATTCCCTTGCTATTGACTATGAAGCCCAGAAACTTCCCTGCAGATACTCCAAAGGCACATTTGGTAGGATTGAGCTTCATCTTGTACTCTTTGAGGACCTGGAACAATTCTGCTAGATGCTGGATGTGGAGCTCTGTCTTCAGTGACTTTACCACATGTCGTCAATGTAGACTTCCATGGATGTCCCAATTTGTTTTTGGAACATCCGATTTACCAGGCGTAAGTATGTGGCTCCAGCATTCTTCAATCCAAAAGGCATGATTTGATAGCAGTACGTTCCTTGTTCAATCACAAAAGAGGTCTTCTCTTGGTCATTAGGATCCATCCTGATCTAGTTGTAGCCTAAGAAGACATCCATGAAGCAAAGGAGCTCGTGTCCAGCGGTGGCATCCATGTCTTTGGGCATGCTCGGTTGAGATCAGTGAAGTTGATACAAAGTCGCCACTTACCATTGGTTTTCTTAACAAGACCTACATTTGCCAACCAGGTAGGGTAGTCAACCTCCCTAATGGCCTTAGCATGAAAGAGTTTACTGACCTCGTCATTGATTGCCTTTTGGCATTCTGGGGTGAAACTTCTTCGCTTTTGTTTGACAGGTTTGTAGGTGGGATTCACACTTAGCTTGTGTGTGATAACCGAGGGGTCAATATCTTCCATGTTTTCTTGCTTCCAGGCAAACATTCCCATGTTCTCCTTTAGGAACTGAATAAGAAGGTCCTTGATCTCTCTACTCAGTTTAGACCCAACGTAAACAAGGTGGTCTAGCTCCTTGTCAAGCTGAACAGGTTCTAGCTTTTCCAACGACATTGACTTAGTGTCCAACTTGTCCCTCATATCAAGCTCGTCTAACTGGATACTTTCAACTTCTTTCTACTTCATGGAGGCCATGTAGCACTACCTTGCTACACGCTGGTATGCTCAGACCATTTCAACTCCATTTTCTGTAGAAAGCTTCATAACCAGGTGATAGGCAGAGGGGATAGCCTTTATTGAGTTGAGGGAAGGCCTTCCAAGCAGCATATTATATGCAAATGGGGCATCAACCACCAAGAATCTCACTGCGGTGGTGGCCTGGCAGGGAGGATCTCCCATAGTGAGTATGAGCTAGATTGACCCTAGGGGCAATACCCTCTCCCCTGAAAACCCTAATAATGAGCACTCACTGGCTCAAGTTTTTCCCTGCCTAGGCCTATCTTGTCAAATGGAAAGGCAAAAATGATATCTGCAGAGCTCCCGTTGTCAATCAGAACTCGATGAACAGTTCTGCTGGTCACGACAGCCCTTACCACCAATGGGTCATCATGTGGATGTTAGCAACCTTTCAAGTCTGAGTCTGAGAAGGGAATGGTTGTGCTTAGTCGTGGTGCCTTGGACATAGTGTGCACCTCCATTGTCTCGCCAACTTTGATTCTGCGCAGGTGTGCCTTTCTGGCTGAAGTGGACTCCCCACCTCCTGCGAATCCTCCAGATATTACTCTGATCTCCCCCAAGGGTTGCTGATGCTGCACAGGGGCATGCTGCTGTTTTTCAATCTCTTTCTTCAATTGGATACAATCATCAATGTGGTGACCATGATCCTTGTGGTACTCACAGTACTTTGTGGGATCTCTCTTTGCTGGGTCCGCCTTCATCCGGGTGGCCACCTTAGAAAATTCTCATTTTGCACCTCGAACAAGATCTCCAATATCGTTGCAGTGAGAGGGCGAAGCTGTCGAGGTGGGTACCTCAGCTGCAACTCTGGTTGTGGAGGACATAGGCGATCTCAGACATCCCCCTTTCTTTTGGGAGAACGATCTCTGTCTCTTCTCGGAGACCTTTCTCGTCTTCTTCTTTCTGGGACTTCGGTCCCTCTTTTTCTCTTCTTTCCCTTTCTGCGAGGATGAGCTCCCTACCTTTGAGAGAAGAACTTCCTCGCCGTTTATATACCTCTCTGCTTTAGCCAGCACCTCAGTCATGCTTGCCTGAGGGTTCTTCAATATGTAGAACATTAGGTCCTTGGATTGCACTCCCAAACCAGCTATGAAAGCAGTAATGACAAACTTTTCGTCTGGGACGTCTACCTTTAGCGACTCCGAGTTGAACATTTGGATATAAGACCTCAGGTTCTCTTGGGGCCCTTGTTTCACAGTCAATAGTTGGTAGCTCGACTTTCCGTTGGTCCGAGCTCCTATGAAGTGAGATACAAAGGATATGGAAAACTCCTTAAAGGAAGAGACCGAGGCTGGGGGGAGCTTATTAAACCATGCTAGGGCAGAGCCCTTCAATGTGATAGGAAAATCTTGGCAACGCATAGGATCCTAGTATCCATGTAGTTCCATCTAATTCTTGTAAGTATTGAGGTGGTCCACGGGGTATTTCGTCCCATCAAAAGCCTCTATCTGCAGCATTCTGAACTTTGGAAGGAGGAAAAAGAGTAGCACGCCAGTGGTGAATGGGGATTCAGTCTTTTGTACTAGGACATCCATTGTGATTGGGGTCTTGCCTCTAACCGCCTCCTTTATATGGTTGAACTCCTGCTGGATATCTTTGAAGTGCTGCTTCCAGTACTGCTCTATCTTTTCTTGCTGATAAGGGAATAAATCATTCCTTTCACCCTCATTGTTCTGACTTTGCACTTCTTCGTTGTTGCCATTCCTAGGGGGTAGAGAGGGAATATGCCCTATGGTCTGGCTATTTTTTCCTCCTTCATTAACTTCTCTAAAGGAGTCGAGGTGCTGCTGTTCTTTGTGGAGGGCGTTATTCTGGCCTTGTTGGGCTGGTCGCGCCTCCTGTGGGCGTTGCAAAAGCTTCAAGAGCTCCTCATTTTGCTGTAGCAGGCGTTGATTGACTAGACGAAGGGGCTCCAATTCGTTATTTGTGGGGGGATTCCCTATGGGAGGATTAGTCTCTGTTGTAGGGTGAAAGTCTGGGACATTCTGGGGCTGTCTGACGTTGGAAGCTTCCTATTGGTCCTGCATTCGTGGTGGATTTGTTTGACTTCTGCTCATGTTGCGAGTTAAGACCATCAGTCACTGAAGGATCAACGTATTTGTAACATGAACAATCTTTCTGTTCCCACAAACGGCGCCAAACTGATGGTGTAATTCAGGGGCGAGTAGAATATGTGAATAAGAGTAAGTTTGTATCTAAGTTGCAAGGCTCGTAGGAGTAATGGTAATGTATTCTTTTGGGGAGTTGGGACGATTTGTACAGTAAAAATATAGTGGTTCATCGACTCGGGAGTTCGGCTAGTCCATTCTTTAATTGAGGCTTTTGCTCCTTTTTGTCTTTATTGATGGCTAGAATGATTTACAGAACAATGGCCACACAATTTAGGTGAAATATGGTTCTCATGTATCTAGGGTTGCCCCCTCTTGTCTTGGAGGCACTATACAGTATTTATAGGGTTGTTGCTTGTTTTGGGGATCTATACCGAGATCCTTGCCTTCCACCCGTGAGATCCTCCTTAATTTTAGGAGAGGATCTTGGTTGGTTGAAAATTTTGTGTCTTAAATTTAGCTTTCTGTTACTTACAGACCGCCTGTTAACATCCAGTTGTTTCTTCCTTATCCCTTCTACTGTTAGCTCTGGGGGAAGCTTGAGGTCTTGGCCCCTAAGATCTGGAGGTCTTAGCCAACCTCCTGACCTGATCTCCTGGTCTGACCTCCTTTCCTGAGCTTATACTTACTGAAAATTATTTTCTGGTATCATCAAATATATTCAAAAGAATTCAACATACATATAAACCATGAGCAATGAAGATCTACACTTTCTCTTGTTTTGCTTCCAGAATGAATCCTTCGAGATGATACCTTCAACTTAGCAAGGCCACAATAAAAATACTAAAAAATTGCTTTGAGTGAGAATGACAATGTGTGTGTGAATATGGCGAGGACTGTTTCGCAGCCTTATTATCTGACACAATTGTCAAAGTTTTTTAACAAATCATTCACTCATAAGAAACATCTGATTGGTACAGTAGGTCTACTTGCGCGTATTCATGAGCTCACAGCATAAATCAATACAAAAGCTACCCAAGTATCTTACATGCGCTTTCACTGTAAATTCAGGTGGCCCAAATGGGAGATCTACAGTAGGTTAGCTTGTGCTTATTCATGAGTTCACAGCATAAATCAATACAAAAGGTACCCAAGTATCTTACACGCGCTTTCACTGTAAATTCAGGTGGCCCAAAGGGGAGATCTAGCATTTTCAAACCTTTCAAGTTCATGCCCATGACAAGCATATAGGTTGACATCCACATATTGCAACTAAAGGTTTAACTCGCAGACTGAAAATTTGAGGAAAGTGCAAAAAAAAGAGAGATCAAGATGGAAAAATCAAATATATGTAAAATGATAGGTCAGATACACTTTTATTTTCCAATGATGAAGACAATCCCATGGAATGATAGAGTTGCATTAGGAGAAACAGACCTACTCTTGACAATTAATTGAATGAAAATTTCAGTTGGTTCAAGGCATCCTCTCAATGTTTCATGCCCAAGTTGTGCTCTTTCATTGTCTCTGAAACCAAAAATTTGTCCCAATTAGTGACTACAACAGTGTGGTAGAGGCCTGTGCTTACTTGAGAAATGTGGTGAGGTCTTAAGCTATCAAGGACTCGGGGCCTCATGACTTTGTCAGATGCAAACCCAAGGCTACCAAACCCCATCCAGCCAAAGCCATAAACAGAACCATCATCCACCAAAACAAAGGTCTTCCTCTTACTTGCACACACCTACAAGAGATCATAAGCTTCATCATACGTTTGAATGGGAAGTCTCAAATGAACAGAAACAAAAAGATATAAGTATGATGCAATTGGACCCCTATAATGAACAAAGATCATCTTTGCTTCATGGATTATAGGTTTTGTGACGTTCCATCAGGTCTGCCATGGCAAAGCAACAAAACAGTTGCACAAAGTCAATTAACATGCAAACCATTATTGCTCCACAAGATTATGTAAACTGTTCATAACACCACAGGTCTCTTGCTTCAAAGAAGCTTACACACAAATCAGAGATGGATAATGTGATTCAAAAAATAGAGTATATTGCAGGAACACTGCCCTTGTGAACAATTTCCAAAAAATCTCCAACTAACTTGAATTCCCTTTTCCCCATCCCTCATAAATTTTGGAACTCAAATGGGAACCTATAACTGTCATACACATCCTTCCATATTGTTTGAGAAGCTAAAATCATTGAACCTATGCATAACATGAGATCGGGAGCATAATAATGTAAGAGTTAGTCTAGTATATTTGGTATGGGGGTTAGTCTAGTCATTCACCTTATGTTATGTTGCCTTAGATATACTAGACTACTCTAACAAATAAGACTTATTTTCTCTCTGTTATTTCGAGGAAATTTCTATTTGATGATCCCGAAGGGTTTTGAACAAGTTTATCCAATGATGTTTTCTATCTTCTACTACATAGGATCCTTTCTGCTCAGACCCAACAATTTATACCAAAAGGTAATGCATGAATAAAACCTACACACCCAAGTTGCTCTTAAGGCTGCTCAAGAATGCTGGAGTAGTCTTATCAATCTCATCTTCATGACCCAATGCACCACAGTAACCTTTGCCCCAGGTATACACCTGTCATCACCAGTTAATGCATGAAGATGCTGAGAAAGTTCAAATAAACAATATTCGATATGATTTTATTTCTTTTCTGTATTTTTGAGAGCCAATGCCAAAACTAGTTTTGAGTTATTGAAATTCACCAATCCACTAGAGTCAAGTACCACCGCATGCTCATCACCAGCCGAGACCCGTATCACGTGAATCCCCTTTCTCCTAAATTACTGCATTGCATGTGGCTGAAGCTCATTTTGCTGTTCTCCATGGCCAAGACAAAAATTGGAGCCTGACCAAAAAGAGTTAACTGTCCCATCCTCAGTCACATCTAGGGCAGAACTTGGACCAGCAGCAGTGGACTACGGAACCAACATGGTCTAGTAGATCCACAATTTTGGGTGTCGATCTATCCAGTGTGTCACCGTGGCCAAGCTGGCCATGTGTGTTGGTTCCACATGTATAGACATGGCCTTGTCTTGTGAGAAAAAAGCTGAAACTAAGCCCTGCTACAACTTGAAACAAGTTCCATCTAATGACATGAAAGAGAATAATATCAAAGGACAAACATCACTACTTCAAGCATACATATACAAATATATATTCACACACACATATATATAAGAAGATAGGTAGATTGAATGCAGATTTTGCTTCAAACATGGAAAGCGCATATCATAATCTCCAAAAATCATTGCGCCAACTTTTTCCATTTCCAAGCACAAAATCTGCAGGACTCAGACTTGGTTTTAGGGGTATCAAGGAGACAAGTAGTTGACATAAAGTAATAGACCAAGACCAAAAAACGTACTACTTCCTACAAGAATTGGGGTATCATTACAAAATATGGATTTGAGCAAAGTGCGATAGCTGACTTTATTGATGACCTCTGCCCGATTAGCTTAAAAGGATGCCAATGTAAGATCGAAGCATTCCAGGGAAAAACGAAAATTTGGGGAAACAAAAACTCCATCTAAATTGGGTAACAAATTTGCTTCAACACCAAGAAGATTGCGTGCTGCTAGGTAGTAAGTATATCATGTCAAAGATAATGAAGGGGAACTAGGAGTAATAATAACCAGCTTAAGAGAAAATTGATCTTAATTTATGCAGATTTTGAGGTCAAATGTTGGTACAATGTACGTGAAACGGCCACCATGCTTACCATCCCGCCTGGAAGCACACACCCTTTAGGGATAAAGAACAAAGGAGGTGGATGTTGGATAGATGTGGTTCATTTTCAGTAAAATGCTTCTACATATCAATAATTGAAAATTGTAATAACACAGTGAGAATAAACTTGAAAACTGACTGTTTCTCTAAAATATCCTTCCTTTTTGTGTGATAATTGGTTAAAATATTATTTTGGAACCATTTGAGTGCTGGAAACTACTACACATACCAATGTCCTCAGTAAGTTAGAGGTAAAGGAGCCAAAATTTATGCCTTCCTTTTTGCCAGTTGGTCAAGTTTCAGTGAAGCTTAAGTGGGCTAGATGTTGCATCATCCGCCAAAGAACTGGAGAATGAATGGAATATCAGACATATGGCAATTTGTGCATAAAAGTCACAGGGAGAATTTCTTGTTTGTGGTACTAACAAATCTTTGGATTGAGAAAAAATGGAAGGATATTAAAATGTCAAACTACAGATGATGTCGAGATTTTTTTTATTTTTTTACATATAGTAGTATACAAAGAGGATTCCAGTTTGCAGAATTTCATCAGGCTTGGCCCCTAAGTCTGTGAAATTGCGTTCACTAACACGAATTCCCCTTTTGGTTAGAGTGTGCATATTTAGGTTCCTACACATGCTCCTATTTTAGCATGCAATCTTAGAGATATTGCTACGATTTACCAATATAAATAATTAAATAGCAGCAAAAATATATTTAGAAATTTCATCCCACATGTGGTGATTATTATGATTATCTGTAGCAGAAAAAGCACTATAGACTTTAGTTCTATTTGGAGATCTGTTTAGAATTGTAATATTTCAATTCTTCAAAGGATTATTTAATCGATGCATGCTCGATCAAATTTTATGAGTTAATTAAAGCAGAATAAGAGACAAGTGATTTTCTACCAGCCCACCCTTTCTGGTTTTGCATCGAGTGGACTGGTGGGGGTGTTGTTTCAGTGTAGGGCACTATCCAACAAACATCGTTGTTGCATCAAAGTTTATTTGAGCATCAACGCATGTTCTCTTCATTGACTACAAATACAGACAACCACAACACCATGAACTTTACCCGCTTGCAAGAAACTCCCTTCAATGCTTCGACAAGCCTAGGCTTGAATATGGGACGACCTGTATCTCCGTGCCCACAGCAGAAGGATGAATTATCTCCACACATGAAAACCTGCATGAAAAAATGAAAATCACATCACTTGTAGCAGCCACTTCAATAAGATCATTTTATCTAGTGCTGCATAGTTAATATTTGATACAACAAAGAGAAAATGCACATCCATTACAGTAGAAAGATTAATACTTTTATATATTATGGTATTTTAAGGAGAATATTGTATTTTATACATTTGGGTACATAGAAAAGGATACGATAACTTGTGATTTGACATTAAATACACCCTAGAAATAGCACATCGGAGGAACAGGATCCACTGATCATTATTTCCAAAATTAGCATATAATCATTGATGAGTGAATGGGCTAATTACTCTTCACTTGAACAATAAAGCAATTTCGATGACAAGAAAATCAAAATAAAATTAAGAATACCAAAGGTTCCATATCACAAATGCATTCCTATCATCCACTTTATTCTAACATTTATGACACCTGGAGCACAGGAGGCTCCATTAAACAAAGGCATTCCTATTATCCAATATCCAGTTTTTATGTAGCATTGTTGATTTCTGGAGAACATGATATAGTTAATTCTCCAAAAGATATTGAAACGAATGAACGTATACAATACTAGAGTATGTGGAAAGTGCTTGCAGGTGTTTGTCTCCAAGGATCGAGAGGGCGAAGGAACATTGTCAATATTGTTATGATGAAAGCTTCTCTTCTTGCATCACAAAGCTTTATTTATATATGCCATGTAAGACTCACATTGCTAATTGTGCAAGGGGACTAAGATATCAAGAAAATAATTTCCCTTGTAATTTTAAAAATGGAGATAACTAACAAACATAACACAGGACAATCTCGTAAATATTTCTCTTTAGCCTTTTGAGAGATGAAAATTTTATACTACAAAGAGAAATCAGATTAACATTTACAGATCGAAAAGTAACTACGACAAACTAATATTGATGAAGTATGACACATAATTGAAATCATTCCCCTAATAGCTAACATAACTTGAGGTTTTCCCAAAAGGCGATCGTATACCTTTCAGCTTTACCAAGAGATTGAAAAACTAAGATCCCGTTTGATAATGTTTATGTTTTTCATTTTTCGTTTTTATTTTGATATTTGGAGAAAATCAGGAAAAAAAATCGTTTGGTAACTGTTTTTGTTTTTTATTGCTGTCAACGTTTTCAAAATCATGGACGATTTTTAAAAACGGAAAAAAAATATTTTTGAAAAAATTAAGGAGATGTTTGTTTACTGTCTCTGTTTTATGTTTTGTGTTTTTGTTTTTAATTTTTTTATCAAAAATAAAAACAAAAATATGTTTAGATACTGTTATTGTTTTTGTTTTGTATTTGTTATTTGGAAACAAAGACAAAAAAATCAGAACAAAAAAAAGATGTTCCAAGAAACATTTGAAACACAAAACACGCGCGAGCTGGGCTAAAGGATTTTAATGAGGTCTGGGATTCGATCCTCATTACCAATAAAAGTTGCTCATTTTTTGTGGAAGTATAAAAGTTGCCTTTCAGAAGGCTTCCTCTTCTCTCTCTCCTTTCTCTATGTATACGAATATGAGCTGAAGCATGTGAAGTGTCTGTGTTCTGGAAGACGAATCCAAGCTCCATTCCATCTTGTTGCCTGCTTGAACGAATCGATCTTCGTTGCTGCCTTCTTCAACGAAATCCTCTGTCAATCTCTCTGTTGTTGTGAAGGTATGTGTATAAAACTCTATATATACATAGATCTGTGTTTTGTATGTGTGTGTGCTTATGTGTGTTGATTTGTGGGTATATGTGTCTGTATGTGTGTCGATCTGTGAGGTATGTGTGTGAGTGTTTGGCATTGTTGGATGGGATCCGATTATATGGAAGAAGTGGATTGGAGGCGTATAAGATTCTAATTGAATCTGACTCCAAAGTATTAGTCTAGAAGGTCTAGGGAAAGATTGAGGTTTCTTGGAGGTTGTCGGGGCATTTTGTCTCAAATCTTGGCTCTGTTGCAGGGATTGAAGGCGAACATGGTTGCTGATTTTTTGGCCAAGAAGGCAGTCCAGGATAACAGTTCCTCTGAATTTGATGTTGTGGGTTCTTTGCCATGTGCAGGAAGGATGCTTGTGGTACAAGAACACAGGTTGCCAATTTTGAGGGGAAAACACTATGTGCTTTACTTCTTGTGACTGTGTAGTCGTGGTAGCTTGGTAGATTGGGGGTTCGTGGAATAAATTTTGTTTTTTTGTTATGTTTTGAAGGATTAAAGTCATTAATTTGTTGGTGTAATAAGGGATTTGTTTTCCTCTTTGTTTCTTGTAATTCTTTGAATTTTGTTTAATAAAATTCTTTGTTTCTTTAAAAAAAAAATTGGGATTGAGATTAAATTGTCATTCAAATCACTATTTCAATCAATTATCAATCATTATAATTTTGTAAATAAAAATAAAAATTATAATTATATTTCAATTATATAAAAGTAATGCATGTTATTGACCATATCATTAATTCATTAAATTAAATTAATTTATTAAGTTGCAATAGCATTGTTGAAAGAAAAAAAAAGTTTTGTTAAAAATATTCATTGAAATGGTTATCAAACATGTTTTTTATTTTTATTCTCATAATTTGATAAACACAAATGACTTCCAAACATGTTTTCTGTTTCAGTGTTTACCATAAAATAGAGACAAAAAATGTCTTTATTTTTAATTTTTTTTAAGATGCGAAAACAAAAACGTTACGACCCCTAAAAACGTCTAACGCGCGTTGAACAATAATGAAGTCAAGAATCGAACTTTGTTAGTATAAAAAAACCTACTTATTGGCCACCCATATAAATATCCCAAACCCTAGCCCCTCTAACCTCTCCAAAGCTTGTTCATCGCCTGACTCCCCCTCCCCCCCTCTCTCTCTCTTGCTCTCTCAGCCCAGCCTCTTCAGAGTCTTCGTCTTCGACGAGTTTTTGGTTCTCCACAAGGTAAATAGCTACTTTGCACATCTATTCTGTGATCTGTGATCTGCGATTTGGATTTTAATTTTTTTTAAAACATTGATTTGGGTGATTTGCTGGGTTTTGTGATTTTTTTTTTTTTAAAAAAAATCACTATTTTACTCATTTATTGCTTTTGTGTTGTATTGTTGAAATTTTTGCTACTGATTTGTTGTGATCTGGGTTCTGATTTTTTATTTTATTTTATTTTTTTAAACGTTGATTTGGGCGATCTGTTGGGTTCTGTGATTTTTTTTTTAAAAAAACACTGTTTTCTCATCTATTGCTTTTGTGTTGTATTGTCGAAATTTTTGTTGTTGATTTTTTGCGATTTGGGTTTTGATTTTTTTTTCAACACTGATTTGAGTGATCTGCTGGGTTCTGTATTTTTTTTTAAAAAAAACACTGCTTTGCTCATACATTGCTTTTGTGCTGTATTGTTGAAATTTTTGCTGCTGATTTTTTGCAATCTGGGTTTTGATTTTTTTTTTTTGAACACTGATTTGGGTGATGTATACAAGCTAGTCACAAAAAAAAAAAATACAAGCGTTACAACCAAATGCGTTTTCTATTTTTATTTTCAAATTTTTTTACAACTATAAAAGCAATCAAACACCTTTTCTGTTTTCATTTTATGGTGACAAAAATCTAAAACTAATTATGCTTTTCATTTTTTTAAAACCAAAATTATAAACGTTTTCAAATGAGCCCTTAGCAGATGATTGATCAAGATGACAAAGAATAAATTTTCAATAGACTATACCAAAACAACAATTTAAAAATAATTCATGTAACACACATGTGTGCAACAACTAATAAATTAAAATATTCATACGAGTTTTATAAAAAAAATTCATAAAAAATAGGGCCGACTTAGTAGTTTTACATTCATAGTCAAAAGTGTAAAGGTGTCAACAATGTTGGCCAATCGAATTCGCTGTGAAAAACTATTCAACCTGCAAACGATTCATTTAATTAAATAAGTGAAAATCTATAAATCGAACATAAATTGTTTATTAAACGGGTTATCCGACATGATTCGTTTAACTAATTTAATATTTTTTTTATTATAATAAAAAATAATTGTAAAACCTTTATAACTGATCCAATTATTAATCTGCACATATTATTCTAACTAAAAAATTGAATAATTATTATTATTATTTATTTTAATTTTATTTAAACGGATAATTAAATGGTAAACTAGTTGATATATCTCACACAAATATAACTCATTTATTAAAGGGGTCTAGTGCGTTTAACCATACTCTTTAAGATTTTATCCAAACTCATTTAACTATATATCAATTTATGACGATTAATCCTGTCGTATGGGATCACACTTTGTCAAAATCTTTAACCGGACGAGGAAAGGTATGTGTGTGTTTATTGGGCTGTAAAACTTTTGGGTTCTACGCGGTGAGTTTAATGACATGCCCGCCCCAACTAGAAGTAGGGTTTTAGAGTCCTCTGAGCCCTCGTTTGCCGATACTTCCCAAAGATACTGGAGTGCTGGGGTGAGAGAAGATGGCGAAGAAGAAAGAGAAGTCGGTGAATGTCTCAGGAAAGCCGAAGCACGCCCTTGATGTTAACCGAGATGGGAATGCAAGCAAAGGCAAACGCAGCGCCTCCACGGTGCGGCGGCTCAAGATGTACAATACGAAGCCGAAGCGTGACAGTAAGGGCAAGATTGTGAAGCACGATTTGCAGTCCAAGGAGTTGCCATCTACTCGAATTCAACCCGATCGCCGATGGTTCGGTACGTAGTTTTTTTTCAATTCAGTTGATTAGAATTGTTAAGTGTCGTATATTGAATTCAATCGTATATGTTTATGTATTATTGCCCTGTATTACTCTTCCATGTTGTTTATTGAGGTCAAATTGGTCCATGGGATATGCACAAATCAATAGATTGAAAAAATACGTGCTATTGTGGGACACATGGGGCTTGTGCTGCGGATGGAGGGGTTAGAATCTCATCAGTTATTGTTTGAACAATAAAATAGGACTAACAATAAAAAAGGGTAATTTGGTTTCTGATATGTATGGAAAAGGGACTAACTCGTATATACTCTTTATCTTTGTCCATTTTACAGGTAATACTCGGGTTGTAAATCAGAAAGAGCTTGAATTTTTCCGTGAAGAACTGCAACGCCGGCTATCTAGTAACTACAATGTCATTTTAAAGGATAGGAAACTGCCAATGTCCCTTTTAAATGATCACCAGAAGGTATGAAGTCTATGTGAACTTCAATGGTTCAATATGGAAGTGGAACGAGGGAAATACATGTGCCTTCAGTTTCTTTCTGACCGTTTATGCAGAAAGAGTTATTTGGGTTTTTTTACATTTTGTGCTTTTTTTTTCCTTCCAGATTTATGATTTCTTCTCCTGTAAGTTGAAAGGGAATGCATAATCTCAATGCTACCAGGAGGTGTATTTTTTTTTTTTTTTGGGGGGGGGGGGGGGGGGTGCCTGGACCAATTTAGATTGTTCAAGTTAGTCCACTGCATGCACTGTTCACAGTTGCACTCTCGGGTTGTTGCGTGTTTTGGATTATTCTAAGGTGGACTCATGAGATTATAGGTCGTTTTTGCTTTGCTATTGGTAATGCAGCATTGGATAAGCTAGATATGGTCTAAGTCTAAGAAGTCCCAGTTTAGATTTTATGTGCGCACACACTTATTACTTCCATTGCTCGAGGTTATGCATAGGCAAATGCTATCCTATGCCCTTGGGCCACTGGTTAAGATCCAAAATAAAAAGGTAGCTCACTGGGGGGAGAGAGGTAGTGGGTGACAAATAAGAGAGAGTTAGTGGGGCCCATAAGAGAAAATGGAGAGGGGAGAGAAGTTGGGAGAAGCTGGCACTCCCCTCCCGTTCCTGTTGTCTTGGCTCCTCCTTGCCGGTGTGCCCCCTTTCTTTCCGCCAAATATCCCCTGTTCCTTGTTTTCCCCCACTTTCTTTCTCTGTTGTCCCCCACTCTCTATCACGAAATGTGGCACTTTTTTGGGGGGCGGGGGGATCCAAGGGCACCAATTATAATGACCCATATATTGATACGATCTGTTTTATCATAAGATGATGGTTATGAATGACAATCATTCTCTTTTTATGTTTCCATCTTTAGTCGTTTTTGTACCTGGACCTCCTTAAGTGAAGATGTCTTAGCAATCATACTGCTGGACAAGGGCCAATACTTAATTTTCGGTTCTGAAATCCCTTTTAGAACATTAAATAGTATTTGTAGGCCGTTTTGATTAAAAAAAAAAAAGAAAACAAAATATATTTGAAAGAGTCGGATTGTGATAATGTAACAGCCTTTCGTTTTCATCTGTTAATTTTGATAATTTGTTTCTGATGTCTATTCAGCAAGCAAGAGTTCATCTTCTCGATACGGAGCCTTTTGCAGATGCATTTGGACCTAAGAAGAAGAGGAAGCGTCCAAAGCTGATGGTATCAGATTACGAGGCACTAGCTAAGAAGGCTGATGGTTCTCAAGGTAAAAGAATATGATTCATATGTTAGGGGGGCCGTGTTTGCTTGATTAGCCGCCTTTTAATATTCGTATTCAGTCTTTCTTAAACATAGTGCACAACAGTAAAGATGCACCAAAGGACAAAAGGTTTCTTATTTGTTGCTTAATGGAAATGTTTTATTTGACTTTTTAGATTAGCTGTTTGGTCTCAATGGTGCATTTCTGTAGCCTAAATTGGCTGTGTACGCATGGCATTTGTTTGTCAATTGTTCAGATGCATTTGAAGAGAAATATGGTGCAAGTGTATCTACAGAAGGAATTGAAGATGGATTCAGGGACTTGGTTCGGCATACAAATATTTGAGAAGGGTCAAAGTAAACGCATATGGGGTGAACTCTACAAAGTGATAGACTCTTCAGATGTGGTAGTACAGGTAATTGTGGCGCTATTTTCTTTAATTCTTCTTATTATGTTGGGGAGACGTGGGTGGGGAAGGATCAATTGCTTCCAGTTTGTATTTATTTGTAGAATAGGAACACAACTTTAATATTAATACCTCAGACTCTCAGAGTCAGAGACATGGGCAGGATAGCTATTCCTCGTCATCATAAACATGCTTGATGATGGGTGGTAACATTTATTCTTTTGGTATTAATGTTCCATTTAGGTGACTAGAATCATCTAATCATTACTAGACATTATTTACAATAATTAAGTTGTATCAAGTGATTCAATGGAAGAGTAGATAGATGGATTTTTAGCACCGTCAGAT